CGTAATGCATCTGGATCTAGCATCGCGCCCAGACCCGGGTTCCAGCTCCACCAGAGGATGTTGGCGTGAGTTCTTAGAAAATTAGGTTAAACTGACACCAAAGGTGGGTAGAAACTACGCGTCAAGGCATGAGTTGGTGGGCGGCAAGGAGAGAACAAAAGGGACTTGGAGAGGATCGTGGATGCTGAGCCTCAGGGGTTTAAGACACAGAAGCCAAGTCTAGTTACAGAGGGCAGAATGGATCTTTAATCCCCCTCCAAAATTGCAAAATTGCGAAGACAAAACATACACCCCTTGTCAGGAATCCCTCCATTAAAGCCTGGGAGATGAACATAGAGCAACAAGCTGGCAGCTTGAAGTCCACAGGTATAAATCGGCGGCAGTCGAAGAGCCCAGGGGAACGCATGTCTGCACTTTCGAGGGCTATAGTGCAAGATGCAAGAGAGCGAATACTCAGCGGGGGAATGCAAAAAAAGCAAAAGAAAAAAGAGAGATGCTCATGAGTCATGCACCGCAAACGCTTGTACGCGAGGCACCTTGCTTGGGCTGAAAAGAGTAGCCAAAAACAGAAATCTTCGAATGAAACTGGGAAGCAGTTCGCACAGGAAGGGTGCCTAAAGAATCACTTCGGCCTATTAGAACTGTCTCGAAAAGCGCGGTGTCTGGTGCTAGCTAGTGTCCCGCCCATTAGTCTCTTAGCACTGGAACGCAAAGGAGGTGTATGATTAATGAAGGAGGAAATTCAGACGCAAGTCATGACGCGCAGACCATTAAGGAAGAGAAGCTGCGAAGAATACTAGAGGGGATCGTGGCAAAACTCCCTCGGCAAGGAAGAAAGTACAGGCCAGATGGACGTACAACTGCATGCCTAAACCTTTTCGAAAGGGTATATAGAAAGCACGGCTCTGTTCCTCGCATCTATGACTCAAGCTTTTACAGTGCAGTGGATTCATTCCAAATCTGTAGTTAAAAAGTTTGGAACAAGCAGATTAGTTCTGACTGTGGACTACTGTGGTTACAATAACGACGACGCAGAACACACCACCTCGTCAATCGCACAACATGGCGCAAGATGAAAGATCAGAGCACCACAGAAAGCTCGACAGCCCATTGACCACGGACAACATTATCACATTAAGTGACAAAGACAAGAACAAACTGGGAACTAATCGAAAGTTATATTGAGAACCATTATGACATAAAAAAAGGAAGAAAGATCAAAGAGCTACAGACGTAATAGTGCAAATTAAATAATACTGGGTAGCCAGCTTGACTCCACCCTGAAGTAATGCGAAAAGCGGGTTCCGGTGGAAACCGTCAAGGACCTTAAAGGTTTGTGGTTTTAGTGGGTAAAAGATCTCACACTACCGAGGAGAGGCGGTCCCTCCGAGTGCTTTCGAAGATTTCCACGAGTTCCCCTCGTAAGAAAAAGAAAAAAAAAAAACACTTACTACTACTACTACTATATACTACTACTGACTAATACTACTACTACTACTACCTACTACTACTACTACTACTACTTATGACTACTACTACTACTACAACTACTACTACTACTACTACTAACTATACTACTTACTATACTACTACACCTACATCTACACTACTACTACTACTACTACTAACTAGACTACCACTACTGACACTACTACTAACTACTACTAACTTACTACTAACTACTGACTACTACTACTACTACTACTATATACTATACTACTCTAACTACTACTACTACTACTACTACTACATACTACGCTACTACTACTGAACTACTACTACTACTACTACTACTACTACTACTACTAATAACTACTACTACTACTACTACTACTACTACTAGCTACTACTATACTACTGACTACTACTACTGACTTCTACTAGCTACTCGACTGCTAGCTGCTACTGCTTGTACTGCTACTGCTTACTGCTAGGCTAGGCTACTGCTACTGCTCACTGCCTGCTACGCTAGCTACTGCTACATGCTACTGGCTACGGCTACTGCTACTGCTACTGTGGTCAACTGCTACTTATGCTCTACTTGCTGTACTTGCTACTCACTGCTACTGACTCTACTGCGTACTGCACTCTACTGCTACTGGCTACTGACTCTGCTAACTCGGCTAACCTGGCATACTGCCAGCTGCCTTACTGCCTACTGCGCTACTGCTACTGCTACTGGCTACTGCTGAGCTAGCCTTACTGCTACTGCCTACTGCTACTTGCTACTGCTACTGCTACTGCTCCTGCTATGCTACTGCTACTGCTCTGCTACTGCTACTGCCTATGTACTGCTACTGCTACACCTACTGCTACTGCTACTGGCTACTGCCTGCACTGCTACTTGCTACTGCTACTGCTACTGCTAACTGCTACTCTAGCTCTTAACTGCTATGCTACTGCTACTGGCTAGACTGCTACTGCTACTGGCACTGCTTACTGCCTACTGCTACTGCTACGCTACTGCTACTGCTACTGCTACTGCTACTCTACTGCTACTGGCTAGCGGCTACTGCCCTACTTGCTACTGCTACCTTGCTTACTGGCTACTGCTTAGCTGCTACTGCCCATACTGCTACTGCCTACTGCGTGAGCTGCTGAGCGTGCTACTGCTACTGCTACTGCTACTGCCTACTCTACTCTACTGCTACTGCTACTGCTACTGCTACGCTACTGCTACTGCTACTGCTACTGCTATGCTACTGCTACTGCTACTGCTACTGCTACTGCTACTGCTACTTGCCTACTGCTACTGCTACTGCTACTGTACTGCTTACTGCCTACTGCTACTTGCTACTGCTACTGCTACTGAACTACTGCTATGCTACTGCTACTGCTACTGCTATTACCTGCTACTGCTACTGCCCTACGCTACTGCTACTGCTACTGCTACTCGCTACGCTACTGCTACTGCTACTGCTACTGCTTACTGCTACTGCTACTGCTAACTGCTACTGCTACTGCCTACTGCTACTGCTACTTGCTACTTGCTACTGCTACTGCTACTGCTTACTAGCTACTGCTACTGCGTGAGCTGCTACTGCTATGCTACTGTACTGCTACTGCTACTGCTACTGAGTATTGCTACTGCTACTGCTAGCTGCTACTGCTACTGCTACATGCCTACTGCTACTGCTACTGCTACTGCTACTGCTACTGCTACTGCTATGCTTACTGCTACTGCTACTGCTTACTGCCTACTGCTAGCTACTGCTACTGCTACTGCTACTGCTACTGCTACTGCTATGCTACTCTACTGCTCCTGCTACTGCTACTGCTACTGCACTGCCTACTTGCTACTGCTACTGCTTACTCTACTGCTACTGCTACTGCTACTGCTACTCCTACTGCTACTGCTACTGCTAGCTACTGCTACTGCTACCTGCTACCTGCTACGTGCTACTGCTACTGCTACTTGCTACTGTACTGCTACTGCTGTACTGCTACTGCCTACTGCTATGCTACTGCTACATGCTAACTGCCGATGCTTACTGCTACTGCCTACTGCTACGCTACTGCTATGCTACTGCTACTGCACTGCTACTTGCTACTGCTACTGCCTATGCACTGCACTGCTACTGCTTTACTGCTACTGCTACGCTTGCACTGCTACTGGCTACTGCTACTGCTACTGCTACTGCTACTGCTACTTGCCTACTGCTACTGCTAACTGCATCCTACTGCTAAACTGCTACTGCTACTGCTACTGCTACTGCTATGCTACTGCTACTGCTACTGCTACTGCCTACTGCTACTGCCTACTTAAGCTACTGCCTACTGCCTACTGCTACTGCTTACTGCTACTGCTACTGCTACTCTACTGCTACGCACTCTACTGCTACTGCTACTGCTACTGCTACTGCTACCTTGCTTACTGCTACTGCACTGCTACTGCTACTGCTACTGTACTGCTACTGCTACTGCGACGCTACTGCTACTGCTACTGTACTGCCTACTGCCTACTGCTACTGCTACTGCTACGCTACTGCTACTGCCTACTGCTACTGCTACTGCTTAACTGCTACTGCTTACTGCTACTGCTACTCCTACTGCCTACTGCTACTGCTACCGGATACTGCTATGCTTACTGCTACTGCCTACTGCTACTGCTACTGCTATGCTACCTACTGCTACTGCTCTGCTGACTGCTACTGCTATGCTACTGCTACTGCTACTGCTACTGCTATGCTACTGCCTACATGCTACTGCTACTGCTACGCTACTGCTACGTGCTTAACTGCCTTGCTACTGCTACTACTACTACTACTACTACTACTACTATTGTTGTTGTTGTTGTTTTTGTTGTTGTTGTTGTTGTTGTTGTTATTATTATCATTATTAATACCCTTGTAAAACTTCTTCCTTAGAAAACATCACAATTATTGGCTCCTTGGATCGATTTTATAATAAGACAAAAATTGTCCCGTGTAAATTAGACGCGTCTTTCCATAACAATTCGATTTAAAAATGAAAAGAAACACATTTTCTAAAATGCATTCAATGTGTTTTACATTGATTTCATATTTGTGAAATTTGAACTCGAACAATGTTTTTAGTAATATGTTATAGAAATTTACTTAATTTTAATTGTCCTAAATTTCAACTAATTGTTATTAAATATGTATTCTTTGGCTTAATATTACAATAGAAGGAGCATTTGAATTAACATTGTTTTAGTAAATAATATTTACTTATAATATTGAAAGATTTTACGATATATGTTATTTACAATTTCTTTTAATGAAATACATTTTTTGTATTGACATTGTTTACATGTATTTACAATTTCTTTGAACTAAATACATTTTATGTATCTTTTTTAATTTAATTTTTAGTTTAACTACTTTGGAGGAACGAGTGGAAAACACATCAACGCGTAATTTTGTCCAATAAGCAAACGTCTCGCCCTTCACCCACACCTGGAACGAACTGCCCTTGACCCTCATCGGTGCTGCTGACGTCACTCCAGTTGAACGTATGCCGCCGCTGGCGACTCAGCTCCCACAATTCCCAGCGGCAGAAGATTCGTTCTCACTCGCATGCGCTCGAGACGCGAACGAAAACGATCGAATCGGCGCTCCGACTCCAACTTGCCGACAACACGCAGGCGAACACGGGCGCACGTGAATGCGGAGCCACGGCTGGTTTTCGTTCTATAGGGGGCACAAATGTTCGTTAGTTGTATTTTAGGCAGCGCAGCGAGCGGTCCGGTGTCTGCTTGAGAAGGTATTTACTGAAAAGTGTTGGTGATTTCGTGATAAAGTTGATGTATCTTTCTCCATGACGTTTGCTTCTAACCTCGGTCTCGCCCGTTGTCCTTCGATTTTGTTTTACGTGAACTGGCTTGTGTATATTAAGATTATTGAAATATAGTATACGTGGAGCTGGGAAAATGAGATCATTTTGCCTGCACAGGATTCGATATTCTAAAACTGCGTAAATAGGATTTTATTAAGGGAACATTCTGGATTCGAATTTAAGATGCCCCAAGCCTAGTACTAAAGCTCCTTCTCTAGTAAGTACGTTTTCAAAAACGATACAATGTCCACCAAATAAATGTCTTACAGTCCCCAGATGCAATGTGAATTGCGCAAGTCACCGAGACCTCTTTAAGTCCGCCATTACATCGTGACGTCATCGCAGAGCTCGACGCGATGCGAGGCAGGTTGACCCACAATTCCTAGACGCAGGGAATCGTTCTTCCTCGTGAACGAAGGAGGTTGGTGGACGAGAGTGAACGAGAACGAACGAATTCCGACATGGAATGCCGCCGGTTTGTTTCTGTGCCGGGCCGCTCTTATTTTCTCTGCAAAAGATTTACAAATAGTTGCGTTTCAGACACCACATCGAGCGGTTTCGCCACATCCTGAGAAAGTATTTCCTGTAAAACGACGAAGACAGTGTTTCCTGGTAAAAGTTGATTTTTCATTTTTCTGTTCTTTAGCCTCGAATCTTCTTGTGCTTTGTTATTCACAAGGTTTTTAGTAATGGAAAAAATAACGTTATAAATGAGAAGGCGAAAATGTTGGTTTTAATGAACGATGTGTAACTGCTGCTTTTAAAAATTGCAAAGTCCGAAATCCTCACGGAGGATAGGTTGTTCTTTCACGTGCCTAAAAACTGATAAGATAAAAAGGTTCAAACAGAGATAGGACATTGCTAGTTCTTCCAAGCAGCAACTATTCTGTAATAAAATATTTTTACACATGTGACATTTTATTTTTTTTATGTCCCTTTGCTTTCTTTTCATATATATTAGCCTAGATTCAATATCGTTTAATGCCATCATTTTGTATTAGTGGTGCTTCAGTTATAACATGCCTGACATGTTGAGTTTATGGTATTTTCAGAGTAAATGACATTAAAAGTTTTAAAATGATATATGTATTCATCATTCCCAAACAGCCCGGGATTATCAGTAAACAATTGCTGCCAACTGTCTCACCGCACCGTGGATGGCCTATAAAAAGTTGTGTGTCTCAGGGACACAAAGAAATGTAAATATATCAAAATAGTTTGTTTCATAGTGTTCTTTTGTTTTACCATAGGCTTTGAAAAACTCAATTTTTATCATTCGTGAATACACAGTATTTACAAATATTGAAAATATCCCAAAGGCCAACCCTACCTCTGTGTGAAGTGTGTGCGATGTCCAATAACCTCAGAAATGGATTTCCAATATTTATGATAGAAAAACTTGTATAAGCAATGATAAAAATAATACAAATACATTGTTTTTTCTGCTTTTATTTTCTCGTGTACTAATTACTATCACATGTAATATTGAGGGGACACCCTTTTTCTCCCGATAAAAATACTTTAAAAGATAGTTGTCTAATTTGTGACGCAGGGCTTGGACTGAGCACACCGAGTCGAAGACTGTGGGTTTGATTCCCTTAAAAGACATGGGAGGCCTCACGGTTATGACGGATAGGACGGACATCTTTTTCTACCACGAACCGCGCTCATAATCATTAATTAATCTCCATCTTTCCTCTTCATGTTCATCCTTCAGAGACTTGACGTAAACGTGAATTAAATCATGCATAATCAGTTGTTACAGTTACTAACGTCATTAGATTTATACGCATAAACAACAAATACTTTTCGTAATATCTTCTTATAAGAAAAAATAATATAAATAAGAAACGCCTTTGCTTTTAATACGTAGGAGTGCAACGCTATCTTCCATTGCACGATTCTTGCTACGGTTCTTGCAAAATTTATACGATTTTGTCCCCTTGTCCCATTTTGTCCCCTTGTCCCATTTGTCCTCTTGTCCCATGTCGAGACGAGAGGAGACGAGCTTGTGTCATTGACTATTTATATAGAAACCACGAGCAACGGAGTGCTAGTTTCGCAGCATTGCACAAAAAAAAAAAATTGAAAGTATTCACTACTTATACACTTGAAAATTACTTTTGTAGGTGCTATTTAGGTTGTGAATGTTGTTTTTCATCTGCTTTCTAACTTGAATAAATACTAGTTCGAGGATCACTTGGCTTCGTAACAGCCGGCCAGCGTTCAATAATGCTGCTAATCGATATACGGACCAGGAGTATGAAAACAAAATCAATCCGGTAGGAGCAGCATCATAGTAAGAATTTTTCAAGTGGTAATTAATAAAAAATAATTATTCGTCAGTTGCTATCTTATACATGATAGTAATTCCTTTGCTGAATAATCCTCTAAACATACATTATTTATTCTCTTCTAAAATTCAAACTAATGGCCTGTTCTCAAATCAGGCTACTGAATATTTAAATGAAAGAATACAATATATTTTTCAACAGAAGTACTCGCTTGCTGGTACCCTGAATCAACACAACCGGATATATATAGCTCCTGGATGTAGTAAAGTACATCCTCCAATACAAATTGTAGTCAAAATCGATGCTTTGTTGGTTTTTGATACATAAGAAGTGGTTTTCGGAAAAACGTGTGAGCGCCTGTGAACGTCAACACCTAACTAGATACTACAAGCTATCTGCTACCACAGTATTTAACAGAGCAATAAGTAAAGTCTATGAATAAAATGGGCTCGTTCCTTATGTGTTTACTATTTGTTAGTATAATGTTTTGAGCGGTGGAATTTGAAATGGATATTTTAATTTGTGGTTACGTTACATAAAGCTCTTGCATTTACAAACGTTTCTCGAAAATGTCACCGTAGCTTTGCTTTAATGTTTTGCACGAATGGAACAATGTAGTTTGTAAAAATTGTGCAGACCTTGTTTTTTGAGAGGTTTGTTTTTTCAACTTTCATTGCCAACTTGTAGGTTACTGCAGAAACATATTGTTAATGAACTCTCTTCTTCACAATCAGGCCTTTAATAATGTCACGTTTATTTTTTTGAAAATACAAATAGATTTTACTTAATTTTGGTGAAATTGGTATAACTTACAAAATATCGTAAACAAGATTTTCTAGAAAACTGTTTGAAGTTTTACTTCAGTAGTAAAAGGAGGAAAATTTTAGTAATCATCTCATCAATAAGATCTCGGATATTGGTCGTAAAATCTATATGAATGGATGGATGGATGGATGGATGGATGGATAACTAGACGGACGGATGAGTGGACAATTGGACGGACGGACAGACGAGTCACGCATGACTCTGTTACATTGTTCTTAGATTGAAAAGTCTAATATCTTTGGCTTGACATTTATTTGTATTATTTTCTATTCTTTAAATTGAAGTCATCTTGTAAGTTGGCACGTCGTATAAATAAGTTATTCTGAGTCGCTTTTAATGACTTCAACTACAAAGAAGGCAGTTTCAGAATATGTTAAATTCGAAATATCGAAAATGAAATTGTTAATAATGATAAGTGAAAGTCTGTTCGTGTCTTTCGAATCATCTGATTTTTTAACTTTAATTGTTCTGTAAGTTTACGGCAATAAAGGAAGTTATTGAGTTGGATTGGTTCGTTCATCTATTACTTGACGCTCCAACGAGAAGGTGAAATTCATCAACCAGTGGCGTTACAGAATTGCACAGACTTTCTCGTATTCATTTTCTATTTTATTTGGTCTCGGCTAGCTATTCTGCTTATTCTCCACATACTCTAGCCAGTTGGTGACCTATCGTCACCCAAAATACATTTTTTTTTAAATTTTCCCAATTGTTCGGTTTCCTATTACTAGCCAATGGGAATTTTCATGGAAAAATTTAGGGTTTGCTTTTAAGAAAATGGCATTGATGTGTTACTGAAAATACCAAATTTCAAGCTCTTTTTCAGTGAAACATTTTGGGTTTTCGAAAAACTTTATTTGAAGTCATTTGATGCACTGTAATTCACAAATGAAATAATGTTTACAAATCACTGGAAATTGCATATTAACGGCGTGAGAGATATTTCAATAAAATTGCAGTTTTATAATTTTGGAAAAAACGAAAGAATACTGCAAAATGAACGTTATGTAATATTAAACAGTTTAACTAGCCCTAAACGGTGGAAAAAATTGAAGAACAAATTTAGAGCCATTTTTTATCAATTGGCGTTTGAGCGTTTCTGAAAATGGTGAATTTTGAGCTCATTTTCACAGAAAATTGTTGAGTTTGCTGACATTATTTAAAGTGCATGTACTTATAAATATAAGAATGTGGACAAACTGCCGCTAATATAAATATTAACGATGTGAGAGACATGTCATAAAAACTAAATTTTTGTGATTTTTGAAAAAGAAAAGACGAGAGAAAATGAAGTTTATACTATCTTATAGAGTACATTGAGCACTCCCCTATCAAAAGTTTGAAGAAAAAAATATTGGATTCGATTTCGAGAAAATCTTGTTTTTGTTATTTTTTTAATATTGCACATATTGCACGCAACATTGCGCGGGAAATACCAAAACATTTTAAAAAATATACG